TTTTTTTTTTCATATCTGCACTGAGATCTACCGCCACCTTTAACAATGAGATTAAGAGACGATTTGGCGTCGAAGCCGCACCAGAGGTGCGTAAAAGCGCAACGCAACAGAACAGATTTGAGACTGCGGGTTTCTGTCGGATTTTATAACCACGGGTCTTATAGTTGAGATGTTTTACTTCTAGATTGGATCTTCCAGTCATATTTAACGACAGATAGAGAGGCTTTTGGCACAAAATCGAACGGGGGGCTCAAAGGTAAACCTGTTTCTGTTCTTTTTTGTTTCAAGTATTTAGATTTTTTTATTCGTTTATATCAAACAGCGTTTGGCTACAAAATCTATTGTATTTTTCTAATCTGCACGACAGCAAAATTAACCGCAGTCACAGTCGTGTGACTGGAAAGGAGACCAAAAAAAAAAAACCCCAACAAAAACTAACAAACAACAACAACAAAACGCACTCTACTCCTACTGTATCGTTCGGCTAGATTAATCATCGCAGTTGGACGAGCCCTGTGGTTCGCTGCGATGATTGGAGGTTGTAGTTTGGGGTCATTTAACTTCACTGAAAAGTTACAGCCAGAGAAGAGGGAGAAGAGGTTTTCTTGGAATTGGGGCAGGTGGGAGGGTGGGGGTTCTCAGTTGTTACAGTGGGGAGAAAATCAGGTTTCGCCAAGACTGGCGGCTAATTCTGACTGAGAGAAGAGGAAACATATGGTCTCTGTGTTCCTCTTTCCTTGATTTTAAGGACTTTACAATAAGGCTAAGTACATTTTGCTTGTGCGTATTCATTTCTTATTTTGTAAATATTTAGTCTGATGCAGTTCACCAACATCTGTGCTGATATCTGATATTTTTAGCATTGTGTTGTACAGTTAACTGCTGTGGCTTGACCTTGATTACGTTTTCATTCCTGACTGTAACTGGCTTTGTTTAAAGAGCTGACGAGTAAACAAAAAAGACGTGGTGTTGCCTTAGTACCTAACACGATACTGGTTTTGTTCTTGTAAAATCATTATTAATTAATGTAACATTTGATTTAGTTTCTTGCCAGAAAAAAAGGATTTCCATTTGGTGTGGAATCCGTTTCGCCCCGTTTTCATCTTTGGAATTGCACTACAGGGGAACTAACCCAGTTTTCAGTGTGACGAATAGTGTTCATTTGGCAAAACTCTTAAAACATGATGAAGTCAAAAGGAAACCAATATCAGAAACGTCAACAGGTTTGTGCTTGAGACAAAAACATGATTTATTTTACTGAAAATGTTTAATATTGCTGTATGTGAATGTGCAGATAAAGTTGTTGTCTACTTATTATGTTTTTATGGGGGAAAAGCAACTAAAGGCAAAAAATAAATTCCATTAGGTGTAGAAAAATCACTCAACAGATTCACAGGACCTCTAAAAACACAAATGCAAAAGACTAATAATCACTGAAAATCAAATCCAAACCTGGATCGAATCATATTTATTACATAATAGCATTATAAAAGGTGATATTTGTGTACACTTGGTAAAGTAACTGTTGTAGCTGTATTAAGTGCGACTGTTTCACTGTGCTACCCACGTCTTTTTCACAACTCCAACCACTTTTTAAGTTCCCAAGGCTTTTATTGTGTCCCTTTGTTCCTTCCGTTCTGTAGCAACGAAAATTTTTCTCTAAGCAAGTATTCGTTGTAACTTTCAGCAACTAGTTGCTGTCCATTTCCACTTAAGACCATGTCTGATACCATGATGCTGATAGGTGAGGTTTACATGAACTGTGAGTTATTCATTTTTGATCTATTAGATTTTTAAAAAAAAAAGTTATTTATAATTTCATGAAGCTCGCTGAGGTCTACTAAGATCAGATGTGTAGCTTGCCTTAATTTAAACCCTTTTCTTTAACTCTACTGCTATTCCATGAAATATGCAGATGACAGAGTGCCAGCATTTGGTGTCCATGAGCTTGACTGATGTAGTAAATGATGACATGCATTGATTTATGTATCACCCTGCAGTTCTGCATGAATATTGCGTATTGGTGTCTATGTTGTTGATGCAGATGAGAGTAAAGTGACAACTATTTAATAGATTAAGTGTATTTCTGGGATTTAAGAATCATCACCCTTTGCTTTGCTTTTGTGTTTAAAAGTGATCTTTATTCGTCATGTGTACAAAACACGCTAATGAAAGCTCTCATTCTTGTTTGATGTCTTTCACGTTGAAATCATGACAATTTTAACCAAAACGGTGCTTCATAACAGTGAGACATGCATGCACGTACACTCAAATGAAATGGAATGAATCAGTCTTTCTCGGTCACATTCACACGAAGGACGGAGAGCGAAGCGATTGAAGGAGGAGGCTCATGCCAACCCTGCTACCTTCAGTGAAGGCACATTGCACACATATTGCTAAATCTGTGCTTTTGGCAGTGTTGGAAACAGTGTAACAGACAAGGTTGCTTTTGTAAATAGTTAAATTTAGCCAGTGGGGTGCCTCTTTGCATGGACATAAGCTTCTCAGTTGTAGAGAGGCTGCACAGTGCACATTAGTGAATCTGTGTATCTGGCACACACAGAAAGGAATGTCTAATTATCACGCTTTCAGCCGCAGTAGGGTCCTCTATTTGCACTGAGCTCCTGCTCTAATCACTGTCTTTTTGTTGTCATTACACACTTATTTATTTTATTTTTATGCAGTTAGAATGTTATTTTTGCTCCATGTGGATGAGCCGGAAAGTCCGTGTAGCATCGGCTGGGTGTTGAAGGAAGCAATTGAGCAGAAGCAAAAGAATGGGCTCAACTGATCTGTGGAATTTTTCTGAAAGAGATGAAAAGAGATGAAGGGGTTTTACATAACAGTGAGCATGTTGTATACAAGTACAGATATATATGCAGGGATATGAGGTTATGCGAATGAAAAGAGTGACGGATGAGGATGTCATTGACTCATACATATATAAACGTCGTTTCATAAGCCTAAATATGCATATATCCTCAGTCAGAGCGTGCAGATTTTCATACGTTGAAGCTGATTCGGCCAGTGTAGCAAATGACCAATGTACCATTTAGTTGGACTGCTTCTCAGATGATGAGCGACTGCAGAGCTTTGCAATATGAAGTGGCTCTAAACCACTGCACGAAGTGGCATTGATTGGACAGCATGAGAGGAGGGAGATTCCTCCTTAAGGTCATTATCAAGCAGACAGAGAGAGTTAGACGAAACAAACCAGTGTAATTGCATTTGTAACAAAAGACTTGGAATCAATGGACTAAGCTCTACGTACAGCAGTTGGTCAGTGTATTTCATCAACATTCAAATGGATCCAGCCTCACTGTAATTGCTTATAAAATCTATGCTACGAAATTGGTTCAGCAGTTCTCTATGATGTAGTCTGTTCTCTTATATGTCGCGATTCAGAATGTGTCTGACAAACCAGAAACTTTTTAACACTTTATAACATTTAATGAATTTTGACAGATAATTATTTATACATAATATTGCTACACACATACACATTTACATTTGTTGATGTAATAACAGGGACTATTAAGCTTCATGCTCTTCCAGACATCTACATGTACAGTCTAAGTGCACAAAAAACTAAGTACACCCTTACTGCATCGATAGAAATCAAGAGGGGAATTGGCAACCAGGTGTTTTGGCTTGCAAAGTTTGATCTGAAAAAAAAAGTGTAAGACTTCTTGGACAAACTTCTTTCGAGAGATGAGACAAAAGTGGAGATATTTATCCATAACCGACAGTGAATCAGCACAAACACCTCATACTGCCGGGCATGGTGGTGGAGGGGTAATGGTTTTGGCTTGCTTTTTAGCTACAGGACCTGGAAACCTTGCAGCCAATGAGTCAACAATGATCACCTCCGTATATTAAATTATTCTAAGTATTC